GATTTCATTTTAACGAAAAGTAAAGAGTCATATATCTTATATGAACACGTAGAAATATTGCATGAGAATGTTTGCAAGAATTGGAATCATGCATGCGCTTCTATTTTGTATTTATGCACAATAATTATTGATATTTCAGATAATTTGCATGAGATGCATCAGATTAAAAAAACATATTTTACAAGTTAACAAGAGTTTCTGAAAACTTTCCACAAATACAAGTGGTTTTTTAAGTGTAGTGTTTGATTGTGATAAGAAATATTTGAACTAACTTGAAATGATCGAAATTTCTATCTTCATATGTTCAAAAATCAATGTGTAGAATATCAAAATAAAAATATTTCAATTTACTTTTAGATGAAGTGCATGTTGACGTGCTGCTTGTTCAGTTTCATTTTTAGTTAATCGATCATTGAGTTCATTAATTAACTCATCTTTTACTCGAAGTTTCTTTTCATATGCTTCTCTAAAAATGAAATATTATTCAAAAATAGAAAACAAAAAAAACGAAACGAATAATTTACCTTAGTGTTAAAATTTCAACCTTATAGTTGTCTAATGAATGACCAATTTTTAATGATTCTTCACGTTGTTTAGCTAGACGTTTTTCGTAAGTTTGTCGAAGAGATATTGTACTACAAAAAAAAAAAATAAATTTTATTACTTTTTTTTTTTTTGCATAGAAAACAGATCAAACGAATTACTTTTGTTCAAATGCTTCAGTTAATTGTGAAACAACATGTTTATTTTCATTTAGAATATGTTCTTGTTGTTCATTTAACTACATCAATTTGATGAAAGTTCATGATAAAATACTCGAAAAAAAAAAATAATAAAGAAAGCGATCTTACATCATTAATTCTTCGTTTAGCATGACTTATTTCACCTTCATAGTCTCGTAAACATTGTGTAATTCCAATAGAAAGTCTTGTATATGGATCCGATGATGTATTTTCATCATCCGGTGGTAAATAAGATTTTTCTTTAATATAAGAAAAAATAAAGAATTTAAAAAGTAAATTTTCAAACCTCGTTTTTTTTCTTCTTTTATAATTAATTGTCTAAGTTTTTCAACAAATAAATTTAATGATGATGATGATGATGATGACATAGTTTCAAGTTCCATTCCTGATGATTTTCTTTGAACAATACTTCTCATTGTTGATGGTATTGCAAGAGCATTTGATGTTTCTGGTAATGCTTGCAATTGCTGTCCAATTGAAAGAAATCTATTCATATAACTTTCACTTAAATTTCGAATTTTTCGTTCATTTTCACGCATTAAATTTGTTATTTTTGATGAATGATCACTATCATTGTCAATACTGATTGACGATGTTGATGTTATATCATCATCATCATCATCATCATTTGACTCGACCAGAGTTTTTATTCGTACTAATTGTTGATCATGTTGTTTCTTCATGATTTTTCTTTTGATTCAAATAATTGAACAATTTTTAGAACAAAATTATTCGCCATTATCAAAATATGAAACTATGGTAAAAAGGAGGCTTTCTTTCTCTTCAAAGGAACACACCGATACAACTGGTTCCAGTTTATAACCAATCGAATTACAACTATACTAGTCAATCGGTACATTTATTCTTAAAGAAAATTTAGTTATATAATTTGTCTCATTGAAATGGGTGCCCAAACTTCATCTATTCCTTCTAATCAAGGATTGAACGATAATATTAAAACACCAACTGATGCTCAACATTCAACAACTAAAGATTCAACAGATCAATGTCCTCATTTTCAACAACAATCAACTCAAAAAACAACTTATGTAAGTGAATGCCCTATGTCAGGTTCAGTCGGTAATCAAGATGTTAATCCATTAAATATGATGCCACCACCTAATCAAATGCCAGCACCCGATCAACCATTTTCATTATCAACAACACGTATTACTTCAAACATCCCAAAAGTATCTGAAAAAGAGGAAAATTGGGTAAGACGTCTCTGTTTTATTTAACTTCTAACTAATTTTTAAAAATCAAAAATAAAACTTCATATAGGTTTATCCATCTCCACAAATGTTTTGGAATGCAATGTTACGTAAAGGTTGGCGTTGGCAAGACGATGCATTAACATCAGCTGATATGGAAAATATTGTTCGAATGCATAATATTAATAATGAACTTGCTTGGTTCGAAGTATTAAAATGGGAAGCATTACATGCAAATGAATGTATGAATCCTCGTTTAGCATCATTTGGTGGAAAGGCTAAAGATTTTTCGCCACGCGCTCGAATTCGACATTGGTTAGGTTATAAACTTCCATTTGATCGACATGATTGGATTGTTGATCGATGTGGAAAACGTGTAAGATGTAAGTTCTTTATCTTGTAATTTTTAAAATCAAAACAGAAGTTTTTTCTTAATAGATATTATTGATTATTATGATTCAGAAAAAGTTGATCATGATACATTAACATTTACGATCTTGGATGTTCGACCAGCGTTTGATTCATTTGGTGCTGTTTGGGATCGTATGCGTGCTGCATGGTGGCGTTGGACAGTACGAGAAAATTATGATGCAACAGAAGCAAATACACGTGATGAATTAATCAAAACAGCTAAACGTGAACTTGATCATAAAAAAGAAACATTAAGGCCTTCTTAATTAATAATTATTCATTAGTTTGATTTTCCTCACTCAGTTCCATGTGCGTGTGTGTGTTTTTCAGTTGGTTAGTTCTATCAATGAAGAAACTTATGTTAGAAAAAAGAAAACCTTTTTGTGTTTTTTTTTGCCCGTTTCTTTCAATTGTTATTTTTAGATTAAATAAATGTCGAAACGACAGATGGTAAATTAATGTTTGAATTTATGAAAACGATAAGGTTTTTGTTGAATTTAGAAAAATGAGAATGAACAACGATTTATTGAAACATGTATGAAAAGATTAGAGAAAAATCAACGACAATCAGTCGATAACAATGACAGGTTAAATTGTTATTTATTATCAACGAAAATAAGATGATAACATTGAAAATATTATTTCTGATAGATCTAATGAATGGTATGATTTTTATTCACGTACAAATGAAGTACTGGTACCATCAAAATGGATTAGTCGTTTAGATGAAGCCAATGCAGTGAATAATCATTTACAAGTGAATATTTTGAATAGGCAATGCTTTATTTTTGTTTTTAACAACAACCGATGTTCTGTTTTAGTATTTACGTGAAAAAATTGAACAAGATTTTCCGAAGTAAAACTTCAGTTTTTTTTGTAGAGAAAGGTCGATGATGAATTTTTTTCTTTATGTTAGAGAAACTGAGAAAATCAATCGTGAAGCATTATATTGTTCATCGGCTATGCATAACATACGGCAAAATGCATTTCATAAACGTCTTCATGAACATCAAATACGATGGGTATGAGTCATTTCTCATACTTTTTTTTTTAAATATTAAAATGATTTTTCTCTTAGCAACCTATCATGTTAATTGGTGAACTTGCATCATCATTGCCGAAACCGACAACAGATCCAATTGACATTGAAAAACAATTGTATATGTCTTTATTAAATAAAAAATAATTTTTAGGTTTTTTTTTTTGTATGTTTTTTTTTTAACATTCTTTTTTATTTTACTTTTATAGATATACTTATTTTCTGTGTCTTCTTTTAAGATTGATCTATAATGCTTCGTCGACCTTTGACAAGTAAGATTTATCGATAATGGCAAATCAATTTAAATAGTTTGTTATTTTAGAAATTGATATCAAAGTTGATGAAATCGAAGATCTTAATGCAGCAATACAAGAACGTAAAAATCAAAAACCAGGCATGACAAATCGAGATCCAATGGGAGTACCTGTTAATCCGCCACCATCTCAATCCCTCTTTTCATTTCTTGATGGAGTTGGTAGTACTGGTACGCCAAGATAAATTACCATTTACTGTCTCTGCTTGTATATTTGAATGACAATTGAATGTTTCTTTGTTATCTCGACCTAAAATGTTATTTGTTCTGTATCTTGTTAATAAAAAGAAAACGTATGAATTTACCTGTTTAGTTTATGCATCGTATCATCTGATTGTATCCGACTTGTCCATATATGTTTAAAGCTCCGCTAATGAGCAAGTATTTCCAGATATCAAACTGCTTTTCGATCGAGATGACATTCGTTTAAAGAGTACTAATAAGTAACAGAAAAAGTCTGGAATGGTTTGGCTTTCTGAGCCTATGTTCTTGAAACATTGAAATTTTACTGAATTTATCAATAAAATATATATCCCCCTGACAATACATGGGAAATTGACTTTCGAATTTCACCTTTACATTTAGCACAAACAAAGTTCTCAATGAAATTAGTAGATTGTACAAGTTGCTAGCTTTTCTCAGTATTTTCCTTCCGAAGACGTATACATATGAGCCAAATTTCGCTTTTATACATGAGAAAATTTCGAATATTGAATACTTTAGGATAGGAGATATGAGGAAAGCTACAACTTGTTCAATCAGCAGATCTCATTGATAACTGTGTTCTAACAAAGTGTTTCAAGTCAAAAGTCGAATCTTCGTTTGGCCCAAAGGACACTACAACTTTTCGTGGAAATATTTAGTAAATTTTCGATATAACAACAATGAACACTTGAAACATCAAATCATTCTAGACGTTTCTATTAATCATTAGTGTTCATCAGATAAACATTGACTTGGTCGAAAAGCAATTAGCTACTTACAGAAGTTTCCTTGTCAGATATTGTTGAATGACTTTTCACTTGCTATTACCTATACATATAATCTAATTCTTCTCTTTCTTCTTTTTTTTCCATTGAATAACTATTTTTACAACACGTGTACAAGTTTTAAATCTTCTTAATGCTACAAAACTTGTTCTTTTCTGTGGTACAAAGAATAACAAAAATGTTAGTTTAAGACAATTACAAAAAAAAACACGGTGTTACACAATTCTTAGATCAGAACAAACCTGTTTTTAATGCACGATGTTTGACAAAAAATGATACAACTCTTGAATAAAATCAACGAACAATTCTATAAATATTTGGGTCTAAAGCTAATTCATGTATTTGTTGTTTAAATAAATTTCTTTGATAATTTTCACTATATCGATCAATGCATTGACATACAACAAAACGAATACAAAAGCAAATAAATCTATTTGAATAATTAAAAATAAAATAAAAAGAAATATTTTAATAATCAACCCGAGAATTATTGTTGCACTACATAGAATCAAAATAGCGACAAATAATGGTAAAGCTGAATTAATTGTTGGTAATAAATGAATTTTTCGAGTAGTTAAACTTGATTGTTTGAAAAACATTTAATTTTGTAATACTTAAACAATGAAAATATAAAAATGTGAAGCGCCATGATGATTCAAATGTAGCTATCGTATTAATTGGTTACACATCCCAATAACAGAATAATCATATCAATTAAGGAACGATCTTGATAAAGTACATATCGAATGAGTAATTGATGTGTATCATTCCCAAAATGATATCAATTTGAAAGAAATGTAAGAACAGTATAAAAAGAAGAAAATATCAAAATGAAACAATATTCAAACATGAATACATCATATGAACCATCCCCACGTATTGTCGATCCGTTTATTATTCATTTTCTTTCATCAACAATTCAGCCACCTCCTCCACTACCATCGTCAATTTTCTTCTATGATCCTTTTCTTATCGTGCCACCCGCACCTGCTATCAACGTCTCATCATCATCATCACCATCATCATCAGAAGTGAGTTTTATAGGATTAATCAAAATTCAAATTATTTGTTAAATTTGATTTAGGCTTCGACGACAAAAATAGTTGTACCTAATCGTCATCGGTTCACACCTGTACAGTTATTTACTCTTCATCGAATTTTTATGCACTTACCATATCCATCATTAGCACAACGTCGTATTATTGCTGAACATCTTGATATTGATATTGAACAAGTTCGTGTTTGGTTTTCTAATCGTCGATCAAGACAACGTAGTTCTAATCATCAAACAAATCTTATTCAACCAACATCTAGTGAATATATGAACGTACAAGAATTGTTTGATAAATTAAACCTCGTTATTTAATGTATATTTTTTTTTTGAATAAAAATTTGTTTGTTGTGTTTGTTATCGAAATTCGAGGGTTGGACCATATCGCTCTATCAAAGAGAAATTGTTCCACTTCAAGCAGAAATGCTTCAACCACAAAAAGTCAGAAGGAAACGCTTTTCACAAACAAACCACCTTCACTCGACCACATCATTTCGAGAGTAAAACAACAATATCGAAGAGAGCCACTCCATCCATATCTCCATTGACAAGGCTAAGTCCAAAAAGCTTAGAGAGACATGGATCAATTTATTTTTTCTTCTTAAGGAATGTTTCTAGTAGAAGTGGACTTTTTCTAGTAGAAATGGTTAGTTCTGGAGAGAAATGGCGTATCATGTCTGCATTCGGAAGAAGTGGGAAAGAGTTACAGTTTATCTTACTAAGATTTTGCAGCATATATGGATGTTCACTAGTAGAAATGATGAAAATATTTCTGCAGGGTGCTTCGTCGGTTTTTTTTACTATTAAGATGAAATGAAAAATATTGAAAAATATATTAATTTCTTTTTTATCTTAAGAACATGTTCTAGGAGAGATCAATTTTTTCAAGGAGAAAGAATTAAAAGATCAGTTGAAATATTTCATCTATTTCTCTACTAATAAGAACAAACGGATAATATTCAAAGAGAAATCAGTAGTTGTTTTTTATCTGATGGAAATCTGCTAACAGATATGGGTGAGATTCTTTTTAATGATTACCTGATGAAAATATATTTCGAACAATAGAGGTATAATTTGTCTTCATGGGTCGGAATGTTGGTGATTGGTGCATATTCCTAGTATGTCATGTTCAAGTATATGTACAGTATCATGTAATAGTCTGTATATATATTTATATTTTTAAATTTTTTCTTACCATTTCTCCTTGTCGAACCATTTTCCTCTGAAAGAAAAACCATTTCTCTTCCTAATTCAAGTATATGTGCAATCTTATATAATAGATTATATATATATATATCTATTTTTTTTATTCTTGCGTTCCATTTCTTCTTGATGTGTCTGACTTTATGTGGGGTGAAGCATTTCTCCATAAAGTGGAACAACTTCCCCCCATCGACTGGTTCAATTGTCCACTGCTGCGAAATTCATCAGTATAAGTTTCATCTTATAAAATTTATGAATGAAAAAAGAAAACAAATCATGAACATATTATTCCACAAACAGTAATGTACAGCGAAAAAAATGCATACAAACATTAAAGATAACAACTTGAGTATTCGGTGTAAAGCATGTATTTACTCAGTGTTACGATTTCTATCAGTGTCTACCTGACAACATAAATGCAAACATTTATGTTGTTAGAATCCGTAGAACATTAGAAAAAAGAAAGCAACTGATGTAAAAGCCACTTCTTATCCACACGACGATAAAACAACATCGTAAAAAAGATTTATTTGCCATGATTTAGGTTTTTTTTCTCTTATGTAAAAACGATGGTCGACATTATAAAGTTTCAGCCATCTGTTTCGCATCATTTTCCTGCAAATAATCAAAGCCTACGAAATAAATTAAATTCTCAACAATTGAATTTACCAATTTTTCTCTCACGTGATTACACTTTTACTGAAGCAGAACGTATAAAAAAAATTGATACAAAACGATGGATTAATGATTGTGTTCATAATTCGTCTCGTTTACTTGATGCTTCAAATTTACCGTATAGTGTACATCGAAAAGTTATGTATCAACAATTATCTCGACAATGTACAACAACAGTTCGTATCAATGGACCATTGAAAACTAAACAACAACGCAATGCAAGTAAAGATACAACAATAGGAAATGGAGGAACAAATACTACATCTCAACCATCATTCTGTAATAGTGATATACAGGGCTCTCATGTATTCAAAACACTTTCAAAATATATTACAATTAAACCAGAACCTCTTCGTTCATCAAATAGTTTCATAAGAAGTTCAACAAGTACATCAACTTCATGGCAAAGATATTGGACATCAACACATGCACAAAGACGACGGTATGTTGAAATTTTCTCTTTCTATATGAAATCAATTGTTTTTATAGACAAGAAACCATTGATTCGGATACTGATTTAAGTCACCCAAAATGTAAACAATCAATTCCTGGTCAAACACATTTTGTTGTTATTCGTGATTCACCATCTTTTAATGATGGACATCAAACTAGCGATGAAATATCATCAACATTACTAAGTAGTTGTAGTCTAACTAAAGTATCCACAACAGCTATAGTTGATAAAAAAATATTCTCAAACGAAGAAGATGATATTAGCACATTAACAAATCAATTTTCTTCAATAGAATTTGTTAGATCATCATTAATTCCATCATCACTTCAAATAAATTCTTCTACGAATCTATCAAAACCAACAGCAAATATTCCATTAGCATCAACAGATAAAGATGATGAAAAAAATCTTCGAAAAAAATCTTTATCATCATCATCATCATCATCGACATCATCATCAGGATTACATTTTAAAAGTGTGAGTCAAATTATTGCAGAAATATCTGATGCACAAAAACCAATAAAACCAATAGAAACAAAAGTTTTAAAACTTTCATCACGAGAAGAAAAACCACTACTTAGAAAACGTTCATTAAGAAGACGAAGATCACGATCAAAATCATCAGAAAAAAGACTAGTAAGAACACCATCAGCATCAAAACGAAAACGTCAAATATTACCATGTCAACATTTATCTAATAAATCTAAATCATCGACATTATCAACAATACTGACAACAACATCAAGGTCAAAATATTCAGAAAAAAAATGGGATGAGCCTTATATTGGCCTTCGTTTTGATCCACCGACACCACCATGTTCACCATCATTATATATTTGGCCTTATGATAGTGATGAAGAAGATAATCAGACATCACTTGAAAAATCAGAAATATTTGAACATAATTCAACTACTAAAGTTTTAAAAAGGTGTGAATTTTGAATAAATATATATTTTCTTTTATATTTTTTCGATGATTTGTTTAATAATGTATTGTATTGTTCGAAAAATTTCTATTTTTGTTTTCATTTAGTCATTCTTACCTATTTAATGTTTAGTTACATTTAATGAATATACTCAAGAAGATTCAAACTCTCTCTCTTGTCGGTTGCAAAGCAAATAAAGCAACATGAAAATATTTTTATATACTTTATTTTATTCAAATAGAAAAACTTTTTTTTTCAAAAAGACCGTATTTTCATGAATAATATTATTACAAAAGAAAAAAAATATTTACACCAAAAAAATGATTTTTTTCTATACTACAGTTTTTGCTATATCAAGAGCTGATTGTATACCAATTAAATCACCAAGCCTTGAAGGAACAATGTAATCATCAATATTTTCCATAATTGCAGGTAGATTCAAAAAGCCATTTAATATGTTTTGAACATGTTTTCGTACATGTGTAATTAAACAGTTACGTTTTGATAATCCACCTCCAATAACTATACGTTGAACTGATGTTAAATAAATAATTGCTGCACATAATTGTGCTATATAATATGCTTGTACATTCCATACAGAATCATCATCAGAAACCTTATTAAGTTCATTTGGTAAAATACCAAGACGATCAGCAACAGCTTTTGCGTTTGACATACCATGAATACATGATTTATGATATGGACAATTACTTTCATACTCATCATGAGGGAAAGGTTTACATTGCAGATGAGCACCTTCTGGATGCATTAGACCATGAACAGGACGAGTTTCAATAACGAGACCAACACCAACACCTGTATACAAAAAAAGCCAATTAAACAACAACAACATTTGAAAATGCAATAAATTTGGATGATCAGACCTGTTCCAATAGTAATATAGGCTAGTGATGTATCGCCTCGACGTGCAGCTTCAGTTATTGCTGGTGCATTAACATCAGTTTCAAAAGCAATTGGTACATTGAGATCTTGAAAAGTACCAACGACATTTACATTCTGCCAATTAGGTTTTGGCGTTGTTGTAATAAATCCATAGGTTTTACTTTTTTTATCTAGATCAATAGGTCCAAAGCACGCAATACCAAGTGCAACAAATGGTCGTTCTAATTTTTTCGATGCTAACCAATCATATATTAATCGTAAAGTATTTTCAGGAGTTGTTGTCGGAATTTGTAATGAATATTGACTATCATATTGTCCATTTTCATCACTGATAGCTACTTTACATCCTGTACCACCCATTTCGATGCCAGCTACAATTGATGACATGATTATTTTACCGTCTAAAATATCTAGTATTGAAACGAAATTCGATGTTTCGATAATGAACAAAATAAGATCGTTTGATTTTAATGTCGTCAGATCAAGACAAGAAGTTTTGTTTTTCCAGTTCAATTTAGGAGACAATCGAAAACACGTTTTTCTCTATGAGAAAGTATTTAGAACAAAAGAAATCATTATTTCCCTATTAGTGAAATACGAACATGGATCACCGAAACAAATACAAATATAATATATTTCGAATGAAGTAAACAAGGGAAGTAGAAAAAAAAGAATAGAAATGAGTAACACATAAATACGAAAAAATTGCTTGGTATTTTACAAGAGATACAGCTATATCAATTAATCATAGAACTACAAGTCTTTTTAATAGAAAATATTGAGTCACATTTTATTGGAAAAATAACACCAATGTCTAGATATTTTTTATCATAGTAGTCCCATGTTTTATATGACGTAAAAGGTAACATTGGACATTCTTTTGACAAAGGTATAAAATAACAAAAAAAAATAGGAAAAAACCTTACGATTGTTTATATATACGTTCTCATATATTTTACATAGGTGATTGTATTTTGCGTATAAAACAAAACAAGTTGCTCGAGAAGAGGACGTATATCTTAAGTCCTTTTTTCTGTTTTACTCTTTTGTGTATACTTGAGAAAATTATGTTTTGAGTTCGATTTAGTCAAGGAAACATAATAAATTAATAGTATTGAAAATCAATTTGATTCAAAAGATGTCATCTATGATATGGACTTATGCCATCTAGTTTATTTAAATTATTGGAAACAGAATAATTGACTCAAGGATAGGAAAAACCTTATATATATATGTATGTATGTACATAAAACAAATAAAATCACCGAGATAAGACTGCTCTTGCTTTTTGTCGATCGCTGACATGATTTTTTTGTAAATCTTGGAATTTCATTAGATAAAAAATATGGCATAACAACTAAAAAGATTCATAAAGCCAATAGAATGTTTATAGACATGAGTCTTTAATTTTGTATTATACCTGCATGTGATGCGTATCATAACGTGTCGAGCAATATATAACCAAAATCGTAAATTCCTAAATTGATATTTATGATGATGATGATTGATATTCATGTAGCCAAACTGAAATCTTATGATATTTGTTTTCTGTCAACGGAACAATATATTAAGATTGAAATTAATAAAGTATTGAGCTCTTTTCAAACTGATTTCTATTAATATTAAATGTGTCAAAAGTCGTCCGCCACAAAGAAATATGAATATCTCCTTTTTATTTTAACCAAATCAACTAATCTTTTCTTCTAATAATAGAAGAAAGATACAAATTTTTATTCTTAAGAGAAAAATTGATAAGCAATGTTCAAAACCATCTATGTTGCCTGCCTTTATAGAATAATTATATCTAGAAGAAACGATGTGCAAAGATTTTGAAATTTTCTACACACACACTGGCCTACGTTTGAGCTTTGTCTAAGTTAACTTTCAAGTTAAAATTTCGTAATAAAATTTTGTTAAAAGTATGCGATCTTAAGGACGAAAGTGGTGGAGTCGAGTTTCTACGGATTTCCGAGTCCTAATGAATTTCTTTCGAATTTTTCTTAGTATTCTTTCAGAGCCTTTGATTGTTTTCAAGTTATTTTCGATTAAAATCGACAAAAACCCGTTCTTTCCTCGTCGAATCCAACGGAAGTAAATTCAATAAAAACTCAATAACTCTATTAACACGCTACAATAACATGAACCTTTCGGCATTAGTTCTAGTCTAGCCGTTTCTTATTAACAGGCCAAAGATGAATTCAACAGCATCCAATGATTTGTAAACATTCCTCACAAAATGTTCTTGTAGGTCAGAAAACGAGTTAATTTTTGTATCGTAGTCAACAGTGATAGTTTTGGACATTACTCGTCCATATTTATCATGAGAATAAAAACTTGGACTTTTCCTCTATCATCAGAGAAAAATATTAGCTGCATGAGTTAAAACATGATGAACAGTATGCAAATTATTTTTTGTTTGGTAGATGACTTTTTCAGACGTCCTCGTATGGATATATTTTCTTTCCTTGAATATTTTATACTTCATATGAAACATTATATGAATACAATGCAAAGAATACTTGTTAGCTACATTTGTTAGACGAATCAACACTTAGAGTATACATCGACAATATTATGATTGAAAGTTTCAAATCTTCCTCTATCAAGTGTCTAAAAGGTTAGAAATACAAATTCCTTATCAGTTTTCCTTCAACTCGACGACTTTAAAAATCAAAATTACGGATTATTATTCATGATATATTTGATACCCATATTTGCATGTATAAAATGGTATGAATGGATACATTTGTACATATAAAAAGTATTCTACAGAATACACTGTTTTGATAATGATAATTCAGACAAGTGAAAATCCGTCGCAGGTTTCTTTAAGAACTTTCATAGGTTTGCAAAGATTTCTTCGATAGCTTAGAAATTTCTCTTTTTCAATTCTTAAATATTACTGTCGTAACTCAACTCGAGTGTAGCATTAATTATGGTTAGAAGCAAGATAAAAACACATTTAGGTAGGCAGTTATGCCTATGCTTTATACCGTATTGTTATTAGACTAGTCTTATATCAAAAATTAATAGTATCAATATGTTTACAATAGTATGAAAATACTAAAACGAAAGGAACACCAATGATAAAAAGTACATGAAAAATTAAATAACAAAGTCAACGGTTCTAGTCATGAATTTACTAATATTTCAATGATGATATCTTATCTGATTATTTCATATTTTAGTCAAACTATGCAAATATTTTTTATATATCTGTTAATATTTCTGATCGATGTATGTGAGCAAGTAACGACATCATGCATAAGTTGTATTCGTATTCTGTCTGATGATTTGTCCGATCATCAACTAATCTTATTTTATGTTTCTACCGCTGCTGCTGCTAGTTGTACCTCCCTCCTTTTATTTACTTATTTATTTGTTTTAAATAGAATATGGGGGGAATAACCAAATATAATTTTATCGTCAGTTCTTTCAATTTGTACCATAAGAGACTTACTTTGTTAAACATGACTCAAAACTAATAAAGTCACATGTATTTAAACATTTATTTATTTCATATAATTTCTTTTCTTTTTCGAATACTTTCTGAGATTAAATATCAACAATGAGCAGTGAAATAGCCATCAGTACAATTGAAACAGTTAAAAAGAAACTTGAAAAATATAATGCTTCGAAACAAAATGATAAAGTAAATTTATCTTTTGTTTCATTTTGTTAATTGATTTCAATTTCTAGGTTGAAGAATATCTTCATAAATTACATAACACATCGATTACTCCTGAATTACTTCGAGTAATATTCAAATTAAATTTTAAAATAATAATTTTATTATTTTTCCTTCTTAGAAAACGAAAATAGACACACTAGTTGGTCAACTTGCATCGAACAAAGAGGCCAGTTATTATTTAACAGCTAACAGTCTTCTTAAAAAATGGCAAGATAAAAATTCATTGTCAAAAACAACGAATACATCCAAAGTTAGGACAATAACAAATACGAAAAAATCACTCGCTGAACATAAACCTTCTGTTAAACGAAAATCTAATGATTATGACGTAACATATTCGCATGCATTAAGGTATGCAATAGAAATAAATTGAAATAAAATTTATTTTCTTTTTTTTTTTTTTAATTTTTTTAGTGAATCCCAATCATCTGATGAGTTTAAACGTAGTGATGGAGATCAGTCATCATCAACATCATCGATTAAAAAACGTAAAGTTCTTTCTCTGGCTGAATATGTTGTTAGTAAAAAACCAATACCATCTTCATCATCTACAGTTGATTCAACTGAAGATAAATTAACTGATACTCAAATCAAAGAAATCTATGCTCAATTTGATGCTAAATATGAAGAATTGGCTGCTAGTGCGCCCGACCTTGCTAATAATGTTAATAAAAAATTAAAACAAAATGATACAATAAATAACAATCGAAATGATTTCATTGCTAATAATCATAATTTAAAACAAGCAACAATTGAGCAAGTCAAAAAACCCAATAATGATATTTGGGCAGAAGACGATGACGACGACGACGACAACGATGATGATGATGATAATGATAATGACAATACGCATCATAAACAAGAGATTACAAAACAATCTCAATCTAATAAAAATAAACAAACAATATACAATAATAATCATAATAATCAACAGGTACTGATAAACAATATGAGTTATGTTAATGTTCTTTTTTTTTATTTAAATGCCATTGAATGTTTATACAAGTTTTTTGTGTAATTTTTATTTGATATGAGAAATTCTATAATTTGATATTTTAGTTCAAAATACTATCAGCAACTTCAACAAAAAAAAAAGAAAATAATTCAATGGTCGCAGCGATTACATCAAGCATTGCTTCTTTAGAATATCCACCACCACCACCATCTAATTTATCAAAACCATTACCAGTTACTACTCAAAAAAAACCTGGTATTATTAAGGAATGAGCCGAAAATTTCTTGACAAAATATTTGACTATTTCTTTGTGTATTTAAATGAATTGGAATAGAGTGTGTTAATGGTGGAGTAGAGTCAGAACTTTGTGCTCTTTCAAAATATATTCTTAGAACTTTTCTTTGACTTTTGATTATTGAGCTATACCTAAAGTTTCAATAGACTCAAAAAATTTTCTGGAGAAGCAAAAGTCTTATTTTTCTGAAGACACGACTATATGAAATATTTGAGAGATGTCTCTATTCTACAAAATGATACAATAATGGAGAGTTCTGGTTAATCTACTAAAAATTTGTTGAAATTATTTCACGCTGAAATAGCAAAAATCGAACAAATATCCATTTTTCTTGTGATAAGTTTTATAAAACCTGTTGCTGCATTTCAACAGTTTGCATAAGATTTTATTCAAATATACCATTTTGTAGAGAATTATTTTCTGTATTTTTCGATAAAGTTTCGTGA